ATTCTTGCTGACACATTCATTTAATTGAGTTTTTATATTAGATGCCTCCTTTCTCTCCTGACTTGTAGAGTCTCATTTGATCAGATATGACTCTTACAAGCTTTCCTTTGTATGTAAATTCCTTTTTTGATCTCGCTACTTTAATATTCTGTCTCTGTTATTGGCTTTTGTCATTCTGAGTATGATGTACCTTAGAGTTTTTTTGCTTGAGACTCTTTTTTTTGCTGGGACCCTTTTAGGCCTCTTGGATATGGGTGTCTGTATTCCTCCAACTCTGGGAAATTCTTACCTATGATTGGTTTAACTATCATTTCTTCATTGAATTTCCCTTCCTGTCCTTCAGGGCCTCAGATGACGCTTACACTGTTCCTCTTGAACTCAGGCTGGGCTGTTCATGTATTTTCAGGCTTGTTTTCTATCTTCTGTTGTTTCCTACATCTCAACTTGGAGCTCCTCGATATTTTCCTCAGCTGCTATTATTCTGCTGCTCAGACTTCCTGATGAGGCTTTTTTCCCTAATACCACCTACCCCGTTCTTCATTCCTATCACGTCTGATTATCGTCTTCTCATTTCAGTTCTTTCTTGTGCATTGCCGACCGACTGTACTATGATGTCTTTTTTTTGTTGTTCGAGCTTACTGAACATCCTCACCATGGTGTCACTCAAGTCATTCTCTGAGAATCGACAGGGCTGGTTGGTTCTGGTTTAGTCCCTCATGTCACTATTTCCACTCACTGAGCTTGGTGCATCTTCCCCCCTCAGACTTGCAGTGCCCCTGCTGTGCTGAGGGTGGATCTCTGTAGTGAGCCCCTTAGGGGTCTCTGAGGCATCAGGCTGGGAGCTGCTGTTTCCTTCCTGCCTGATTTCACCCAGCGAGGGGAAGAATAACTGTGGCAGTGTGAGGCTTGGTGAGCTGAGCTGTTTGGGCAGCCGCATGCACAGCGGTGAGCCTCAGGAGTCATGCAGCTGGGCTTGCCGAGGGCAGAGGAAAGCACGGAGGCTCCAGGACCTTGTGGGAAGGGAGGAGGCCCGTCTGCTTCCTTTTCCAGGAGGCCCCGAGATGTCAGAGATGATTAATCTCACCTGGAGGAGCGTGTGTGTTGGTGGGGAGGTTCAGGAGACGTGGAGCTGGGCCTGCTGATGGCACATAACATACTTCATTATACATGTTCCAGTGACTTATTTCTGTTTTTTATTTGTCTAAAAATATTTTTATTTCATGGTCATTCTTGGAGGATATTTTCAGTGCAGAAAGGCCTCTAGGCCGGCGGTTCCTTTCTTAAAGCAATCTGACATTTTTGTTCTGTTGTTTCTTGCCTCCCCTTTTATTGGACGAGAACTACCAGTCTACTCACTAGTTCTTTGAAGATAAGAGGTTTTATTGAATAGGAATAGTTCATCTGTTTGCTAGTCCTTTAAAGATAATACATTTTTGGGGGGCTGGAGCAATAGCACAGCAGGTAGGGCTTTTGCCTTGCACATGGCCAACCTGAGTTCAATTCCCAGCAACCCATAAGGTCCCCTGAGCACTGTCAGGGGTAATTCCTGAGAACAGAGCCAGGAGTAACCCCTGTGCATTGCTGGGTGTGACCCAAAAAGCAAAAAGAGAAAAAGGAAAAAAGATAATACATTTTTTTCCCCTTGACTTCCAATATCAGCTGCCTAGATGATATACTTTTGTCTTGCTTAGATGCGATAAGACTTCTTACCTCTTGGGATTGGTTTTTTTAAACCAAATTTGAATGTTTGTCTTCTGTCATCTCTTACCCACTCCTTCCCTCCCCTCCTCTTCTCTCCGCCTGTGACTGTCCCGTCTTTTCCTCTACCCCTTGTCGCATACAGATTTTCTCACATTTTATCTCTTGATACTTTCATTCTAAACATTTCCTTTAGAACTATAAAAGTATTGTGTCTAAACTGTACGACCCATTGGGTTTGTCATTCTTCTTAATTTTGTTTATCAGCTGACAACTTTTTTTTATTTTATTTTTTTCTTGTCACACTGGTCTAATCATTTCTCAGTTCCCAGTTCTTTGCTAAAATCCTTTGCTAAAATCTTTTATCTCCACATAGCATTGTCCAGTTTCAATATTGTGCTATTTTACCAGCTTTCTTCTGTTGCTTTGTATTTTCTTGTGACTTTCTAAAAGAATTTTTTGTATTATGTGTTGGACACTGTATTCGAAAACTTTTTTTTTTTTTTGAAAAAAAAAATTTGTGGCCCGGAAGTTTTTTCCCACTCTTTGAATTTGCCTTTGAGTATATTTTCATGTTTTATTTGGCCCTTTTGAGTAAAATGCTTGGTCAAGAGTCTTGCCATTTAAAAGCTACTACCCTCTTTATTAGTGATTTTTTTTAAGTTCTATGCCTTTGCCATACATATGTGTACATATGTATATGTATACATATATTGTGTAAATATTAAAATGGGTCTATGACACTAGCCTCTGCTTTTTACCTTTTTTATAGTGAAATGGCAGAAGTTTTCCTTTTGTTGAGATCTACTTTATTATTTTATACTAGATGATTTTTTTTTCTTTTCACTTTTTGGGTCACACCTGGCGATGCACAGGGGTTAGTCCTGGCTCTGCACTCAGGAATTACTCCTGGCGGTGCTCGGGGACCATATGGGATGCTGGGAATCGAACCCGGGTCGGCCGTGTGCAAGGCAAACGCCCTACCCACTGTGCTATCGCTCCAGCCCACTAGATGATTTTTGCGCTAAGGCATCTCCCAGGACTACAACAATATTCTGTTTTCTAGAAATTTCAGAATTTGGGTTGAATTCCAGCCGTAAGCAGGGTAAAATGAACTTTCTCATAGCATTTGCTGCAGGGCTAGGCTGGCCATTTTCTGGATGGCATCTGCTGCTCCCAGCCCCTTCCTCTCCTTGTGGATTACATGGCCGTTCCTCTGCGTTCCTCATCTTCCTCTCCGCTCTGGATGTGTGGCCCTCCTTCGGGCGTTCCTCTTCTGTGTGTAGATTTTTACCTGAGCACCCAGTGCTGCTGTCCTGGAATCTAGTCTTTTATCCTGATGATGCTGTGTTTTCATAGTTACTGCCACTTTTTAGTCAATTTGATATCTGGTAATATAAGACTGCCAATGTTGATCTTGTTCAGTAATTTCTGGGGTTTTCTATTCCTGTCTGCATTTTCAAAAGAGCCTGTCAGTGCCTTCTGGGAATTCGGCTGGGATTAAATCTATTGATTAGCGCATGTGGTCTGACATATTAACATTGCATATTGCTGGGAGTACTTTACCTGTGGGACAAGTGCATCAGCAGCCTGATGGCGCCTTCAGGCTGGACTCCAACAACTTGGGACCAAGTTTCCTGAGAAATTAGACCGTCAAAATTTTGGTTCTGTGGTAGCCACATCCACAAACCTTCTCCGGCTCAGCTATACAAGCTCATTTATCAGCCTTGCCACAGAGACCCATAAATCTCAAAAGAGGTCAGAAGCAGGCCATTTAAGTGCATTAATGTCCATGATTCAGTGACTCGCAAATGAATCTCAGAGGAGAACAGCACCCTGCAGAGATGTCTCCCACCCTCACCAGGCTGATTTTATCCAGACAGGTGTCCCTCCACCTGCCCCAAATTAACCCCCACAGCTGCAAACCTCCAGAACCCAATTCGCTGCCATGCTCCCAGCCAACCTTAACAGGCTCCTCCCGAGCCCCCCATGCATGTGAATGAACCCACCGAAAAAACCCAGGTATGCGGAACTAGTGACTGAAAACTCCAGGCTTCGTGGAGTCCGGAGGGGTGACCTTCCCCCATCTCCCTGCCCTTCCAGTTTCCTGGCAGTCACACCCAAGAGCTGCCTCTGGGTGCCGTTTAAGCACATTAACGGCCATGATCCAGAGACTCACAAATGAATCTCGGAAGAGAGCAGCACTCCACAGAGATGTTTAAAAATGTTTAAAAATTTTAGAATTCCAGGAGCGTGCCGATACTTCCATGACACCTCATACTAGTCCTGGCAAGCAATACAAAATAAATTAGCTAGCATCTTTCTAAGAGGCAGGCGAGGGTGGTGATGGGAAGATTCAAAGTAATGGCGGTGGGAAGGTGCAAAGTGGTGGGATTGGTGTTGAAATATTGAATGTAAACAATTATTGTGAACAACTTTATGAAAAAAAAATTTTTTTAAAGAAAGTAACGTGGAGTTCATCAATCAGCTTAAGCAGTGACTAAATAAATAGCAGTACTCTTACATTTAAAAATAAAACAATATATTGTGTCTTCCTGTGAACACGACCTCTCTTCTCTCAGGAAAGCTTTGTAGCATCTGTTATTAAATTTATCTCTGGCTCGTTGATATCTAAAATGCGATTATAAGTCATGTTGTTTTTAAATGTTGTCCCCTGGTTGCAAGTGACTGGTCTATAGAAACGTGGTTGGCCCACTGCCTCTCCGACTGCAGACTTGCCGGCCTATTCTGGGGTCTAGCTTGTTCTTGGGGGGTCTCCTCTACACACGGCCGGTCGCCTGCTGCTGTTTCCTCCCTGCCTTGTCCAGCCTGGCCTCTGTGCCTCATGTGTGCCGCTGACGTTTTCCCCAGGGGTGCAGAGGCTGAGAAGCAGGGAGGAGTTGGGGGCTCCCGGCGGCCGTGTGGGCTCCTGCTAAGCCCCTGGGTGTGTGGGTGGACAGCGTCTGCGCATCCTGGGCCTCGTGCTGCTCTGCCAGCGCCTCGTTCTGGGATCCGGAGGCCATCGGTCTGCTCCTTCCTGCAGCAGCCCCACCCCTACCCCCACCCCCGTTTCCACACAGCCTCCCCACTGCCTTCCTCACTCCCGTCCTCCAACAGCTGCACCAGGAGGGGCTGGTGGGCCTGACCCGCCCTTGGCCGCTCACCCCCAGCCCCCGAGCCCCTGCCTCTCAGGGCGCAGCTGCCGGCCAGCCCGGTGCAGTCACTCTGGCTACATCGGGGATCCTGGGGGCATGGGGCAGGACACCTGCTCCCCGTCACACGCGCCTCTTCTCATTCCCTAGGTCAACGCACCCCGAGCAGCAGTGGGGACGCCATGTCTCGTCCCAGTGCTTGGCCCTCCGCCCGCCGTGGTCATTCCTGGAGCTGCCTCGGCCCTGTCCATGCCTGTGCCAGGTACTGCCCTCCCTGGCCCTCCCCACCCCTACCCAGCCCCGGTGTCCCCCTGAGCATCCTCTGGGCCGGTCTGGGAGTCTGCTGCCCGTTCCCACGTCCTGGGAGCCCCGGTGGGCGGCTGGGGTGTCATGGGCGTCCCCCTGCTAGGTGTGACCATGTGTGTCCAGCATTCCTGCCCAAGGCTGCACAGCCTGTAGTTGTTGTCTTCAGTAGCAGGCGATGGGGGTGGGCAGGCAGGCAGGGAGGCCAGGGTGTGGCCCCTGAGTGGTGCCCACTGCCATGGACCTCCCCCCACCCAGCCTTGCTCACCGCGCAGAGCCTGTCCCCTCACCAAGCTCCACTCTCTATGTGATGTTCCCTGTCAGCACCCACAAAAAATCAGCCTCAAGTCAGCTTTTCTCTTCACTGATAAGAAGAGAGGCTTTTAAAAAATGAAAAAGGAAAGGGATTTTGTGTACTTCTAGAGCGGAAGTGTCATGTCACAACGGTTTACAGATCAGAAGCAGAAGTCTTGATCTTTAGTTTTCTGTTGTAATATTGTAAATGCCTTTAAAAAAATAAAAGTGGAGGGGGAGGCAGGGAGAAAGAAAAGTTGGACCTTGAACTTGTGGAAGTTGTGGCTGTGGCACGTGGCCCTTTCCCATGGATCAGCACAGACTCCTGGGACTCTTGCAGTCACTGATGTGGCACAGGCCACAAACACACACGTGCGCGCATGCACACACACACACACACACACACACACACACACACACACACACACACGCACACACGCGCACACACGCACACACCCGCCACAGCGCTCCCAGCCACCTGTGGTTGGTTGCAGGGTCACATTGCTAGAGGGTCTCTTGGGAAAGAACTTGAGCGGCTTTGTTAGTCTGTGTGGAATCTTCTGGAAAGAGCAGCGGAGACGCTGGCATTCTGACCGCAGCTGAGGTGAGGGTGTGTGTTTGGAGGGGCCCTGCTTAGCCCCTTCTGCCCAGTGGTAGCCTGCACCCTTAGCTGCTGCCTCCTCAAGTACTTCCTGGGTCAAAGGGCAGTGCCCCAGCAGAGCAAGGCCCCTGTCCTCCATGTCCACTGGAGGTCGCTGCCCTGAGCTGGTGGCTGGGAATCTCCTTGTTCCGTGGTGCTTTGGGACCTTGTTAGAGTGGGCTGAATTCTTTTGGTTTAAGTCTGTTATTCTTCCATCGAATCCGTCAGGGTCAAGTTTTCTGGATGGCCTTGCAGGTCACTCTGGCAGGGCACAGTGCAGTTAGAGGTGTCTCTGCCCTTACACCCTGTGCGGGGTCCCCCGGCAGCTCCTGGGGATGTGGCAGCCCCTCCCTCAGCCCTTGGCTGTACGGGGCCTGTGAGGAACAAATCTGTCACAGTCCAGGTATGTGAAGGTGAAAAAGGAACATTATTTTTTTCTTGAAAACAGTTTCAAACAACCTCTTTTTCTTACCTTGTGTCCTTGTAGCGGCTGAGCTGGCCGGTCTCTGGGGCCAGTTTTCTGGTGGCTGGGTGGGCAGTGCAGTCTCTGCCCGGCCAGGCACTGGTGGGCGAGGCGAGAACGGGCTTCCCCCATCATGCATGAGGCCCACGAGGCATCTGGGGGTGGGTGTCAGCAAGTAGGTTTGTGCAGCAGTGGGGGCCTGGGTGGGGCAGGGAGTGTGCACCCCACAACTACGAGGGAACCAATCGGGGCTGGAGCTCCAGGGTGGGCTTGGGGGGCTATGCTGTCCCGGGAGGTGTGGCCTGGGGTGGATCCCTAGCAGTGCCCCTCGCTCAGCCCAGATCTCCCAGAAGGACGGGTCGTTTCTGTCCTCTTAGGCGGGGTCCCAGCACAGGACATCTCGGGCCTGTGGCCCAGTGAGGGCCCCATCAGTGCTGTCACTGGGAAGCGGTCAGTGTCTTCCGGCGGCCACTCGCCCCCTTGGCCGGGACCGAGAAGGACCCCTGATTGCGCCCTGCACGCTGTGCTGGTGAGATGGCCAGCGCGGCTGGTGGCCGGCAGGAAAGTGACCACTCGGCCCTGGGTCCTTCAGGCCCTCCCCGCAACCCCCTGGGGCTGACCACAAGCTGTGGCGATTTTGTTTTCTAGATTCTGAGAGTGAAGAGCCCGACTGAGCCCCGCGTGTCCCGACGCCAGGCCCCGGGGGACGCTGGGAGCGAGCCCCGCTGGTCACTCACGCTGTTTTGTAACCACTTTCTAAGCATTTTTTATTCACAATTGGAAACACAAATGTAATGCAAGAATAAAAAAATATTTTGGGGGACAAAGGACTTTGCTTCTTCCAACTCTTCTCTCCTGCCCACTGGCCCCCAGGCAGGCAACCCTCAGGACCACGGTGAGTGTGAGGGCGCTGGAGAGGCCCCGCCTCAGCTCCGGGACTCGGACATTGCATCTTCCACACGCGCCATGCGCCCGACACAGCTCAGGGGCCTCACGGGCCCAGCCAGCTCCACCTGCGTCCCACCTTGTAGCAGGGTGGAAACTGGGCCCTGTTGGTGCCTCCCCATCCCTGCCCCATCCCCAAGCAGAGAGAGACTCAGGAAGTCTGGGCAGCTTCCACAGACAACCTCCAGTGGAGGTGAGGTTGGGCGGCACCCCAGGACCCAGGTTCCCCAAAAGACTCTGTTGTTGTTGCCCGGGAAGAAGGGCTGGGCCCTGTCCACCCCCGGGGAAAGCAGAGTAGCCCAGCCTCCTCTGCACCCAGCTGGCGCTGAGCCCAAGCAGAGTAGGGTGTCCCCACCGCCCAAGTGGGGACGTGCTACCACACTATTTGTTTTGTCGCCACCTGCTGGTCACTGGTGTTGGCGCAGCTGGTGTATGAAACCCTACAGGGACTACTGGTCTACCCTGGTTGGACGGTTAAAGTAACCAGTGGTAGAAGGGTCAAGGGCACAAGGGTGAGTCGTTGCGAGGGCAGATGGCTGGATGTAGAGGCCCAAGAGGGATCCTCACAACCCTCATATTGGAAAACCTCATGGGGGGAAGAGTCTCCCCAGAACTCCCAAGCACTCGGAGACTTTGATTGTGCAGCTGGGTCTTGGAGGTGGGGGGGGGTGGGGTGGGAAGGGAAGGGAGGCGCGCCAGTCTGGAGCAGCGGCATGTGTCGGCCCCTAGTGCGGAGCCCTGCTGAGTGTCAGCTCCCTTCTCCCTGCATGTCCTGAGTAGGGGCCAGTCCGCACACTGGGGTAACAGGCCCCGTCTCTGTGACATGGTGGTGATGAGCTGCTGCTTCCCAGGCGTCCTGTGTATGGCTTCTCACCTCCTGGCTCTCGCACACCCAGCCCTGTCAGCTGAGAAACGCCTGACACAGTCTCCAGATGTGCCCCCACTCCCCACTCCTATGTGGGGTCCGTCAGCTACATCCCCAGCTGTGCCTTCTGCAGAGACTGGGCAGCCAGGAGAGGATTCTCTAGTTTCCCCTCAAAAACCCCCATATCAAGTCCTCTAGGGTTCTCTCCCAGGACCTCCCCGCCCCCAGGACCCCCTTCCCAGAGCCCTCTGCCCTCTGCCCCAGTGGGCAGCTTGGCACCACCTGGCACACTCACTTCCGGTCTCCTCAGCTAGGGATCCCCTGCCTGCATGGTGATCGTGGGCTGATGGTGGCTGGACGCCAGCTCCCTCGGAGAGAAGACGCCTGTGGCCAGGCCAGGCCAGGCCAGCAGTGTAGTCCAGCTCCCCCGACCCCCAGGAGTGCTGGCGGGGGGCCTCTGCTCTGGGCACCACCCACCCTCGCTCGGCTTTCAGCCGCCCCCACCTTTAACCGCACCTCCCCCACCGGGTGCCTCGTCTCGGTGACCCCTGAACATCCAGAAAACCAAGCGTGGTCACTCCCCAGGGACTCTCCACGGTGGCAGCTCCAGAGGCTATCAGTGAGATTGTGTCAGGCTGAGGCCTCCCCTGGCACTTCTGTTGTTCCTCCGAGACATGGGTGCATGGAGCACAGAGGACAGCACCACGGCCCACCTGTTTGCAGCTCTCAGTTCCAGCACTAGGAGTCCAGGGCTAGGGCCAGCAGAGTGGGGCTGTTCCGAGGCTCCTTCTCAGGTGTGGGCACCTGTTTTCACGGTGTATGCCTATGTGGTCCCCAAGCTCACAGAGACGAGGATTTGTGAGTCTGTCAAGATTCACTATTTATGGTGTATATTGGGAACATTGCCCTTTGGGTGGGAGGGGGAGGGCACATCCAGTGATACTCAGGGCTGACTCCTGGCTCTCCTCTCAGAAATCACTCTTTGCAGTGCTTGTGGAACCATATGAGTTTCTGGGGATTGAACCAGGTCAGCTGCATGCAAGGCAGATGCCCTATCCGCTATACTATTGCTCTAGCCCCTGGGAACATTCTTTATAATTTTATTTTATTAAATATAGCGGGGCTGGAGCGATAGCACAGTGGGTAGGGAGTTTGCCTTGCACGCAGCCGGCCCATGTTCAATTCCCAGCATCCCATATGGTCCCCCGAGCACTGCCAGGAGTAATTCGTGAGTGCAAAGCCAGGAGTAACCCCGTGCATTGCCAGGTGTGACCCAAAAAGCCCCCCAAAACAAAAAAATACATGTAGCACTGCTATTTACAAGGTTATTCATAGTTGAATTGTAGATATACGATATTCCAGCTCCAATCTCGCCACCCATGTTCCCGGGCTCCCTCCTGTCCATCCCCCAGCCTGCCCTCTTGACAGGCACCTTTTTAAGTTCGGTTGTTAAAGTTTGTGTTTCATGACTTCAGTGTTGTTCACTCTGTGGCTATTTAGCTCATCAGCCCTGAACACCACTGACTTACCCGAATCCTGACTCCCCTCGACCCCTGCCCCATCTCTCTCTTCTCCCCACCTCTACTCAGTTTCTTTCCTTCCCCCTGTACTCTGGCCAAGGGGTGGAGGGTCTAAGCTCCCTTCAAGCCATTTTATTCCTAGGGCTCATTCTTAACCACTTCATCTAACTTCTGTCATGTCCGTGAAAGCCCCATCTCTGGGTGTGTTCATGCCAGGGACGAGAACTTTAGGAAGGGGGGCACACAATTTAATCCCACAATGTATGATTTATTCAATAGTGTGTACACGATCCATTGGTAAGGTGGGAAGTTTCTATACTTGTCTCTACTTGCATGCATGTTTTGAAATTAAGTGAATATCAAATATACAAAGAGAAGCAGCAGAGGTTATCATGATACATTTATGGCAAACAAAAAGAGGGGGTCCAAGCTCCATCCACTGAGCCCCACGTAAGGAATGAGGGGTGTGAGCGTTCTCCAAACCCAGAGCTCCAGAATGATGGGCTCTGGACTGTGGGCAAGAATCAGTGATGACACCAGGCTGTTGGCAGAGAGATGTTGATTGCAAAGCTGCTGCCTTAGCACTCAGGCAAAGAGAAAAAGGAAAAGGGCAAAGGGAGCAAATAAAATGAGCAAAAATTGATTTTCAAGACAATAAACTTAACCCAGATGATATCAATAACCACAATTTGTAGTGGTGTATAAATGGCCTGATGACTTCGATGAAAAGATATTGTCAGATGGGATTTATAAAAGGTCCAACCCTATGTTGACCCTAATAAATGTGCTATCAAGACATACAGGTTAACGTGAAAGACTGGGCAAAGGTACACGCATCTTGACATCAACAGTTTCAAACATTGCAGATTTCTGAGCAAAAGTTTGTTCCGAAGGCAGAGATGATCATTTCAAAATGAATAGGTCAGAGAGGCATTTGCCTTGCATGTAGCAGACCTGGGTTCGATTCCCAGCATCCCATATGGTACCCCGAGCACCACCAGGAATAATTCCTGAGTGCTGAGCCAAGAGTAACCCCTGTGCATCGCCAGGTGTGACCCAAAAAGGAAAAAAAAAAAGGAGATCAGCAACATATCAAGAAAACAACTAAATATTTATGCCCCCAATAAAAGCAAGGAGTTATGCAAGGAACACAGAACCTCAGGGAAACAAATCCACACACCACTGATACTTCACTCCCTCAGTAACTGAGGAAACAAGCAGAGAGGCTATGTGTAATGGAATCTCTCTCTCTGACTCGGTCTGACTACGTCTCCAGCTTCCTCTTCTGCCCTTCTGCCCGCATCGACCCTATCAACCAAGAGCTCTGCACTCTGACCTGCCACCAAGGGAATTAATTGGTGATGTGCGTGGACGCCCGTAGTCTGCTTCCTCCTCAGCCACCATCCAGCCCTTCCAGTTCCCCTCATCACCGCCACAATCCATTTTGAATATCATGGGAGCTGTCCTATTCCTCCCCAGAAAGGCCGATTGTGCAGAACAATTAATTTTGTTATGTGTGCATGCAAGGGTATGAGGCCATCCATCTCAACATCTGAGCCTCGTTTTGCGTGGAGGGTCCTCCTGTTTCTACAATGTGATCCCAGCAATCCTAAAGACCCATGGAAGAATCAAACCACTCTTGAACAGTTTCTAAAACTCCACCAGAGTAGAACCTGTGTTCTTTTTATTTTTTTTTGTTTGGAGCCATTCCTAGCAGTGTGCTCAGGCTCATTCCTGACTCTGCACTCAGGAATCATTCCTGATGTTACTTGGGGGACCATATGGGATGTCAGGGATCGAACCTGGGTTGGTCACGTGCAAGACAAGCACCCTCCCTGCTGTACCATCGCTTTGCCCTCACGTGTTATTTTTTTTTAATTTATTTGTTGAACATGTTATTTTTTATATATCCATGGGCCATGCATCAAGATAGGCCATAAAGGTGAATGACAAATACTGAGGGAGCAACACATTCAAGCAATGTATTCTGGCCACAGCAGAGTAAATTAGAAAGTACTAACAAATCTCAAGAAAATATCCAAGTATGTGGGAATCAAATAACATACTTTCAATAACCAATGGAGCAAAGAAGACGTTAGGGAAATTTTTTTTTAATTGAAGAATCGTGAAAAGATATCAAAGCAGAGGGAGACTGACTAGATTGTATTTGAAAATCAGTAACTTCTACCTCCTAGTTAAGAAACTAGCAAAAGGAGAGTGCATTCAAAGTAGGCATAAGAAGTGGAAATAAAAATGGAAAGCAATATCTATTGCAGGAAAAACAATAAATAACACCAGTGCAACCAAATACCAAGAAGGCAGTAAAAGTAAAAAAATCACTCACTACCCTAATTGGGGAGGGGAAAAAATCAGCAATATTGCAAATAAGGAGCCATCAAGGTGGTTCTGGATACAGTCAAAGGCGCCAGTGAGGACTCTCAAGAGCACCTCTAAGCCTGATACACAACAACCAAGAGAAAATCGACAAGTTACTTGAAAG